CTGGCTGCAGCATTTTGGATCAACTCAAGGCTTTTACCTACAGTTTGCGGACTTCCTGATAGTAAAGAATTACAATAGTCCAGCCTTGAAGTAATAAATGCATGGACTAGTTTCTCAGTATCACACCTGAACATGATATTTCTGTTTTTTGCAAAATTGCGCAGATGAAAGCAGGAAGTTCTAGAAGTGACAGGTCCTGATCAAAACGAATGCACCAAGATTTTTTACTTTATTATCTGAGATCAATTTAATCCCATCCAAATAAAGTGACTGATTAATCAGCTTCTTTTTCAAACACTCTAAAAACTCTCCAAAAACTATAACTTCTGTTTTGTCTGCATTCAGGAGCAGAAGGTTAAGAGCCATCCAGCCTTATATGTCTTCAAGACATGCCTGTAATCTATGTAATGGGTTAGCTTCATCTGGATTAATGGACAGATATAGCTGAGTATCATCAGCCTGACAGAGGAAATTAATCCCATGCTGTCTAATAATTCTACAGATTGGGAGCATATATATTGTAAAGAGAATAGCTCCTAGCACTGATCCCTGTGGTACTCCAACATTAAATCTTATGCTGTTGCAGAAAAATGGTCCAAAGCGCATTAGTTATGCCACCTTTGGATGACTCAAAGAGCACATTAAAATACTTTTTTATGATCTTGAACCGGACCTTTCATACTTAAACCTAAAGTAAAGCAAAGTGAGCCAAAATCCAGTAGTAGTACACCAGTAGTGATGATGAGGACTCATTGTCAGTGACTGACCTGATAGTTAATGTCCTCACAGCAATGCCATATTATATTATGCAATAAATTCATATTCAATGCCCACCCCAGTGGGGGTGGCAAAACTGTCATCCATTCAAAAAACATTTGGACTGTCATATATACAAATGAATACACAAAGGAAACTGTGAATTGAACTCCAATCATGATCAAAAAGTTAACTCTACAGCTATCAATATTTTAATCAATTCTTCTTCAAAGTTCAGGAAAAATTTGCCTGTAGAAATTAAGATAATGTCCTTTCTTCTTAGATGAAAGAAAGTAATCTAAGAAGCATCAAAGATATATAATATCTTTGATGCAAAAAGTCTCTGGCATCTCAAAGTTTCATGTGGACACAGGGAGAGGCGTTGTATTCCAAAGTTTGAAGATGCTTTGCTTCCTATCCAGGAAGCTTTTTCAATTCAAAATGTCAGGAATAGTGTTGAGTTTGAGGTTTTACACAGTAGCCCAACAAAGCCTTGTTTTTGCACCGGCAAATTGGAACAGACGAAGGGGTCTTCCCATTTAGAATGGGAGTCATTTGGCTTCTTTCGTTAGACTGCAATACCCCATAGCCAGTACTCGTGTTGAGGGGGGATGAGGGGGGATGGCTTCCCCCTTACTAAAAAAAATCTAAAAAATCATTCCCCTTTTAAGTGTCCATCCCCCTATACCATCCCCTGTCACATTTTATTACTGAATGTGTACAATTCCTACTTTAAATTAACAGTAATGTCAATAATATTGTCCTTTCAAGATTTGGTGGGCTGTGCGTTTACAAGTAGCCTGAGTAAAATAAATACAACCAAAGAAGTGTCTAACATGACTATGAAGCTGATCCCACTGGGAAATTTGTCCCTAACTATGTAGGGGCAGTGATAGCCATGCCAGTCCAGGGACTGACTGCAGTTCTACTGTAAGGTGCCTTGGTCAAGGTCAATGACTGCAGTACGTAACATGTAACAACCACACCATGCATATTGCTTTAGGTTCATAGACTATATTAATTAGACTTTGTATGCTTAAAAAAAAAATCTACCATCCCCTTTTTTTTTTTTTTACAACTAGACTACTGCCCATACCCATCTAAGTGTCTGAAAGGTCAGATGTTAAAGGGGATTATTGGCTTGGCTGAATAGACGAGGTCCCCCGCCCTCCTGTACAGGGGCTGGGGCTGCGATGATAACGGGAAGGGATTAACTCTATTGCTGCATTATAGGTTTTTGAAAGCTGTTTAAGGTTGTTTTTTTCTTTCTTAACATAGATGGCTTCCTTCACGCACCTCTCAAACCACCTGTTTTCTTTGTCCAAAATGTGAACATTCTGGTCCTCAAAAGAATGTCCTTTGTCCATAAGGTGTAGATGTATCGCAGAGTCTTGTCCAGAGGATGTTGCTCTTCTGTGTTGTGCCATGCATCTGTGGAGAGGTTGTTTTGTTTCTCTTATAACAAACACTACCCGTCTAAGGGTCTTGTTAGGGTTGAAATGAACTGAGAAAATCCTCTCTTTTTTTCAGAGACTCCAGCAACATGTGAATGGCAATGTTTTCATGTTTACCATTATGTTCTGCTGCATGTCTTTTGGATTCCCTTGCTTATTAGCAGAGATGGGAAGTAACGAAGTACAAATTCTTTGTTACTGTACTCAAGTAGATTTTTCTGATATTTTTACTTTACTTTACTACTTATTTTTATGGCGACTTTTTACTTCTACTCCTTACATTTTTACACAAATATCTGTACTTTCTACTCCTTACATTTTAAAAAATTGGCTCGTTACTTTAGTTTTGAATCATTTCAATGGAGTTACCGTTATTATTTTTCACGTCATCAATACCAAATTCAATATAATTGGATGGGAATCTATGTTGCATTTGATGCACCACTAAAAGATGAATAGACAAATTCGGTGGTATTCATTCGCGGCAAATCATTGCAGCTTGGTGGCGGTGGCGTTAGCATAGTAGTATGGACGACGAGCTGATTGAAAATGAACACAACGGAGATCTAGTCCTATTGGCAGACATCCATTTAAAATGTAGGCAACGGCATGAAAAAAGTGGTTTCTACTTTTACTTTTATACTTTAAGTAAATTTACAAGCCTGTACTTTGTTACTTTTACTTGAGTAAAGAAGTTTAGTCAGTACTTCCACTTTTACCAGAGTATTTTTTAACACAAGTATCTGTACTTTTACTCAAGTACGGAAAGTGAGTACTTTTGCCATCTCTGCTTATTTGACAAATGCCCAGTTTGGGTATCTGCAGGTTTGAAGAGCATCTTTGATGTGTTTCTGTTCTTTGTGCTTACCTTCTGTTTTAGTAGGGACATGCTCAGCGCCATGTTGTAAGGTTCTGATGACTGAGAGTTTGTGTTCCAATGGTAGGTGTGAGTCAAAAAGAAGATACTGGTCTGTGGGAGTGGATTTCCTATAGACTTCAATGTTGAGGTTTCCATCTCCTTCCATGCTCACCAAACATTCCAGAAAAGATAGCTTTTTGTCGTTGGCATCCTCTCTGGTTTAATTGATGTTTTGGTCTACCGAGTTAATGTGTCTTGTGATAGCTTCCACTACTTTTAGCTGGATTTTAACGAATGTGTCATCCACATATCTAAACCAGTGGCTTGGTGGTGTTCCCCTGAAGGTGTCCAAAGCTCTGTTTTCCATTTCTTTCATGTAAAGATTGGCTACAATTGGTGACACGGGAGATCCCATGGCACAACCATGCTTCTGTCTGTAACAATTATTACTGAACTTGAAATAGGTTGTGGAAAGACAAAAGTCCAGCATGGAGCAGATCTGGTCCGGAGTAAAATTAGTCCTGTTGTTTAGGTCACTGTCTTGTTGAAGATGTTTCCTGACTGTTTCCACTGCCTCTGATATAGGTAGGCACGTGAAAAGAGAGGTAACATCAAAAGACACCAGGGTTTCTCCTGGTGCCATCTTTACATGTTTGACTCTGTTAGCAAACTCTTTGGAGTTTTCTATGTGGTATGGAGTGTTTCCCACTAAGGGGGCTAAAATGTTAGTAAACTGTTTAGCAATGTTGTATGTTACTGAGTTAATGCTGCTGAGGATGGGTCTGACTGTTGATCCTTCCTTGTGATTTTTTGGGAGTCCATATAAGCATAGAATGTCCTCCCCTGGATATAATCTAAAAATAAGCTGAACAGTTAATTACATTGTCTTTTTCGAGTTGCTTGAGGTAGTCTGTGATTTTCTTTTTGTAGGCGTTGCTTGGCTCTCTTTTCAAAAACTCATACGTGTTGGTGTACCTCAGTAGATTGAGGATTTTTTCGTGGTAGTTGGAAGTGTTGAGGACCACAGTGCAGCTTCCTTTATGTACTGGTAATATTGTGATGCTTTGGTCCTGGCTAAGGGATGTTATGGCTTTCCTTTCCTGTGGTGTGATGCTGGGAGGAGGTGGTTTGGCGCTGGACAGGGTAGCTCAGTTGCTCTGCCTCTGGTTTAGGCAGAAATGTTGTAGCAAGTCTGGTTTTGAGATTACCAGCAGGCCTACTTAACTTTGGCAGTCAGAAGGTTCTGATTCTTGTAGCCTGCGTGCCCTCCTTTCATGGAGTTCCTTCATTGAGCTGGCCTAGAAGCAGCGGCAAAAGAGGCTGAGACAAGCATGAAGCAATTGCTTTGTCCCCCAGCACAGTGGGGGGCAGGGTCACATGTCCCGGTGGGAGGGTCTTGTGATAGGGGGTTTGCAGCAGCTCGAGATAAGAGTACAGCAGAGCAAAACTGTATCTTCCTTGATTAGTGTTTAAAATTAACCAGTCTGGATATGGTCCTTAATGTCGAAAATAGCTTATGGCTTATGGCAATACACTAGTATCACAATGTTGATATTAGATCTCAGTTGTGTGGTAGAGGGTATATTTAAATAAGCACATAGTATTTTTCCTCAATCAATCTACCAACTTTATTTGTAGGGCACATCTAAAACCCACAGTGTTAATTAAAGTGCTGTAGATAAAACAAGTTAAGAATAAAAGAATAGAATTAAAATGGACATAATAACCAGTTTCACAACTGGATTAGTGCCATGCAAAACATGATCTCAGCTATAAATAAAAATGTGTTTCCAAAAGAGATTTAAAAGAACAGCAAAGAGGAGGTCTGTCAGACACTAAGGGCAACCTATTCCAAGAAGGTCAGAGATTGGTTCCAAAATCTGCTCCTGTCTGCTTTTCACTTATTGTAGTGAAAGAGGCACATCCAAGGCACACTATCCCGTGCTTGATTAGTCAATGGAAAAGTTTGACTGACTTACTGGAAGTGTTATGCACATCCAAGAAGAGTTCTGATTGGTTGAAATGGCCATATACTATGGCATTTACCGAAAAGTTGACTAGTTGTAAATTTGAGTTAATTAAGCTCGAATTGAAGTTAACTTTAATCTGGACATCTCAAAAGTTGTATCGAAACTTTTCAGTATGCAGGGTTTTACTTCAAAACTTATTCCAAGTTCTTACTTTTTCCACTTTTTGAAACAGAGTCAGAAGTTCAGATTTGTTGATAACCGTCCAACTCTATAGAATACTTGTGATTTTAGTGTTTTCTGGTGATTGCAATATTCTGTGCCAAGAAAATCTTTTATGTTGGCTCAGAGAGAAGAACACCAGTGCTGACTCATCTTGTAAATTTAAATTTTGCTTTTGGAAAGTTGAAATTCTCTTTTAGGATTCATTGTTCCAGGTGGCAGGACTAGCTACTATGTTTAGGGAGTGATTAGTTTTAACCATCAGAGCAGGTTGGTTTTGATCATTTTATACTCTTTAGAGCTGGAATATTTATCCTGTATTCAAAGTTGATTAGTGATGGAAATCATTAACACTTCATGAAGGTGGAAAACAAAACCTCTTTTTTTGCATTACTGTGAAATTGTGTCACAATCAAGTTCTATGCTTATACCAGCTTATTCCCATTTTTTTCTTCAGAAAGACCTAATAGTATTGGACGATGTACACAAAGTCTTTGCAGTGGACGCTTTGGCATCCTCTCATCCTTTGACCTCTGAAGAAAACAGTATCTTGCTCCCAGGACAGATCATGGAGCAGTTTGACACCATCTCCTACAGCAAGGTATGCACAGCCAGACAAGTTTTAATGGTTGCAAATCAGAGTTCACATGATATCTCCAATAAAATGCACAATGAATATTCTCCTGTATAAGCATAATGATAAAGTTTCTGAAAACATGGAAAAGCAACCTTTAGGCTTTGGTTTATACGTTGAATAGCTGATTGTTACTCTGTGTGTGGATCTCAGGGTGCCGCAGTGCTGCGGATGCTGTCGGACTTCCTGTCAGAGCCGGTCTTCAAACAAGGACTCAGTGTAGGTTTGATTTGTGAACGATCAGTTTATTTAATTTTGGTTTATGCCATTTCACCAAAAGGGTTCATCCAAACTTTTCTCTACTTTGTGAACAGAGTTACCTCAGATATTTCTCCTATGGAAACACAGTCGGGACTCAGTTGTGGAAATATCTGCAAATGGTGAGATGAGGAAGTTTTTAGGTCTGTAAATACTGTGGGACACTCTTGTAGGAGTATCTGGCATATTTGCATTACTGTCAGATTAAAGGATGAAGTTTCTTCTCTGCACTATTCAGATACCTTCTATTTACCAATGGTTCATGTTAACCTCATGTTTATAAATAAAGTTGTGATGTGCAAACCTTTTTCTTTCTTGCACGAACATGACTTCTGCAGGCTGTGAAAGACAACAAAGTGTCTCTTCCTCATCCAGTTGACATCATCATGAACCCCTGGGTGCTTCAGATGGGCTTCCCAGTGGTTACCATAGATACGAGCACTGGAAGGGTTTCCCAGGAGCACTTCCTGCTGGATCCAGAAACGAATGTCACTGTACAATCGCCATACAAGTATGCAACTCTGCCGCACCACAATAGGCAACATTTTTTCAGCATACTGTAGGTCACAGAATCAGCCATCTTAAGGGATGGTTATACTCCCCTCAGCAGTGTGTCACAGTGAGATTTTTGCAGATATTTTTGATTTATGCCCAAATTGAAGCGTGGTCTGCGCTATTTTATTCCATGCCACAACGCAAGAGGGACAATCACGAATTACCTGTGGGTCTATATACGGCCGAGTAGGTGAGGAAGTGGGGGGAAATTTGTGCCAAAACGGAGGGACATGAGGGAGAAAAAGAGCGGTGATCCAGGTGGAAAAAGGATCCCAGCGTTCTCCCACACCTCGCGCTCTTCTAGCTGGTCCATCTTCACAAGTCGTTTCCACAATGGCGGTCATACAAACAAAACAAGCCGGTAAGGTACCAAACAGGAAATACGCATGAGTAGAGCGGATGTAGATTTGACCAATCAGAGGCCTCCTGTCTGCGGCACTGTCTGCGATCACCTACAATTTTTGGAGAGGTGCAGTAGAGTGTCTGCGGCACATTTGCGTTCACTGCGACACACACGCAGATCATCTGGTGTGTGAGTATAAATTAGCCTTTAGATGATTGCTGGTCTGCATCGAATGGGAGGATTCCCTATGAAATGCTCTGTTATTTTAAATGAAATGTTCACATGTCGATATTTAGTCCTTATGTTATTTATCTCAAAGGTTAAAAAGCACATATGTTGTCATTTAATAACCGTCTGGGGGCATGTCAGGTAAAGGAGCACACTGGAAAAAATCCAAATCTAGATAATGTCATGATGGGTTCACTGAGGAGACCCAGTTATGCAGAACACCACGGAGACGGAAACAATAGTAAAAGTTTAACAGAGTTTATTGTCACAAGCACATGGAAATATGACAGGAACTGGTTCAGGCCTGGGGACTGGTTCACTGGAGTCTGTGTAGATAACCGAGCAGTTAGTTTAGGATCAATGGGGTTTGGTTTTGAGATGTTCAGACTTGTACCTTGAGGGTTCCGGTTTGAACTTAGAGAGAGGAGTTGTTGGGTCCAGAGGAGGTTTGTTTCAGCAGAGTCCGAATACTGCTTCAGCGTCTTACTTCTGATGAGGGTGCAGACCTTGGTTAATGGTTTCCAGCTCTTGGTCCAGAGCTGCATGGGAATCCAGAGAAGAGTCTTCGGGTTTGGCTCAGAGGGTAGGCTCGGCAGTTTAAGCTCATCCAGAGCTTACGGAGAAAACTGGTTTCCTGGAAACAGAGACACAAAGGATTAGAATCCTAGCAGGACTCAAGGAACAATTAGATGTCTCAGAGGGTTCTTTGGCTCAGGTGCTAACCAACGAGATTCAACACTGCGGCGTCGAGGCAAGGTCTGAAGACAGCTTTTATAGTGTGGATCCTCTGATGATGGAACGAGCCTCAGGTGCGTTGCAGGCTCGGCCCAGGAGGATCCACGGCAGACTCTGCTGGAGAAAGGTGGTACTTCTCCAGCTCCCAACAGATAAGTCCTTTTTTCTTAAAATAAGTGCATTTGTTCTTGAATTGAGGAGATAAAAGAGACATATTGCCAATGGAACAAGATGATTTAGGTTTAAAATAAGAAAACACAACTGCATTGTCTTATTTCAAGCGCAAATTATCTAATTATCTTATTTTAAGAGTAAAAATACTGATTCAATTGGCAAATTATTTTATTTACATACTCAAATCAAGGGTAAATATACTTAATTTGAGAAAATTTTACTTATTTCTAGAAAGTTTTTGCAGTGCAGGGGGGATGTCAAAACCTCTGCAAATAATTCACAGAGTTTTAGACACATTTCTCATGTCTTCAATGGAAAGGACGTTCGTTGATCATCGATACACTTTTTTTTAATTAGTTCTACAAATCTTTACTATTGGTACAATTCACAGGAAAGCAATCAACTTCGCTCACATGTTTTACCGTCTAAAATAACATTTATGGAGGAAACTGGGACAAAAAGCAAATATTGTTTTTTATTGGTTAAAAAGGTGGACAAACATCCTTATACTGTGTAGATTCTGTATTTTTTCTGAGTAGTCATGCTTCTGCTGCTCATGTTCCTGCAGCTCTACATGAAGCATTCACAGCACTGAATTTTTCAGGTATAAGTGGGTGATCCCTGTGAGATGGATGAAAGATGGCTACGTCCGTGAGGACATCTGGTGGCTCGACGAGAAGGAAGGTGTGCTGTGAATTGAATAATTGAGAGCTTGTACCAGAAAAATGCAATGTTTTGAAGATGTGTTTGTCTTTGTTAGCTCTGAATGTGGACATGATGACAGGGCCTTCATGGATTCTGGCTAACATCAATGTAACTGGATATTACCGAGTGAATTATGACCTTGGGAACTGGGAGCGACTGTTTTCTCAGCTCAGCACAAACCACCAGGTTACCTGTCATACTTTACCCAATAGGTGCAACACAACTTATGCCTTTATTCAGCTTCAATCAACAAAAAAATATTTCACTATTCTGTGTCCCAACTCAGGTGATCCCACTTATCAACAGGGCACAGCTGGTGGACGACGCCTTCAATCTGGCCAGGTAAAACCAGTCATGTCAGCCGCATTTTTTTGAATTATAAATGGATCACGCTCAATTAAACACACATGAATGCATTTTTACCTTTAAACCAGACAGCAGAACATTAAACAACATGCTAATTTCCGGTTTCATCCTCAGCATTTTTTTCAGGGGATCTTGTAACACAGGGTCTTCAAAGTTTTTCAGGCTAAGGACCCCCAAACTGATGGCGAGATGGAGCAGGGGCCCCCTAATTATATATAATATGAAATTGTGTTATATCAAACTGGTCCTATAGTCACTCTATTACAGATGGACTAATGTAACACAAGTAATTTCTCCCTGGGATTGTTAAAGTATTTCTGATTCTGATTCCTGGTTGATGGGACAGGTGTTGTGAATGAAATGGTGCCCAGCTTGAAAGAGCTCCTGTGTGTCTCTGAATGTGTGCATTGATGACTGAAAGACATCTTCTGCCTCCATTTATCTGTTTACTACAGTGTGTTGAATTCACATTTAAAGTGGATTTAAAGTCATTTTTAAATTAGTCGAAAAAAATTGCAGGGGGGAAATAAAAAAAAGTCTAATCAACCAAGACTTTCGCGACCCATGCAGTTCCTCTGTGGACCCCCGAGGGGTCGCTGACCCCCTGCTGAAGACCTCCGCTGTAGCAAAATACCTTGTTTTTAATTTGTGAGAAACTTTTAAGAGGTTGGACGGCACCGCTTGACTGACAGAAAATCAAATTTAGGCTAAAAGAAAGAACATTTTGAGATTCCCAAAGAACCCATAGCTCAAAACTTAGTGGAACAAAAACACTTCTTCTCATCAACCTCAGATTGGGCAAGATTGGACCAAGATCCTTAGCTTAGCAAATCCTAGTTTAGAAGATCTAAGCTATGCCTTATTTTAGCCTAACTGAGCTTAACTTAACCTCAAGCAGCTGCAAATGTGCTAAGCGCTAAATTTTCCTTAGTTTAGCCTCCTCTTAGTCTAGTTTATAGTAGCAGTTAGTATATAGTATATAGCAGTTACTATATATATAGTAGCTTAGTTTATCCAGTCTTAGTTTTTAGAGTCTACCAATACTTTGCTTGGATCAACGTCTTTTAGCAGAATCTGTATCTGTTAACTTTACTTGAGCTGTTAAAATAGATACAATTATGTTGTAGTCTTACTTAAACAGCCTGGTTTAGCCCACCTAGAAGCATGTCATCTCAGCCTATTTATCATCCTAAAGATCTTCTCATCTTGATACCTTTGCTAAGCTTGTTTTTAACCTACCAAAAAACTTTAGTTTTATTCATCGTAGCTTTTTTTGCATTTGGGAAGTTAGTCAGTACATCAAATGGTAAAACAGAGAAACACATATAACAAATATGTTGTTTTTTTTTTTTTCCCACATCATTTACATTTAATCACTGCCTCACTTTATGAAATGGACATTTTAATTTGTATTTTGTTTTGTATACTGTTAAAGATGCTCTATCTCGCCGGTGCTTTTCCCTGAAAAGAGATCACTCGGTACAAACTATTTAAATAACACTTCATAACTTATATGCATTAAATAACCAGGACCATGACAACAGATTCTGATTCATACTCAGATCAGAGAAGTTGCTTAGAATGTACAGAAATGGCCCCGATTAACAGTTAAAAAGGCATTTTATACATCTCCAGTCTGCCACATCATCTTATTTTACATCATACATGTTAGCAGATGATTAGACATCCATGGCTCCAGCCTTATCAATATATTACACTTTGTTCTTAGCTGAAGGAAACCGCTCTCATTCCATTTCTAAATCTTTGCCACGTACAGAATAATGATTATAACTGTATATCCAGACAGAGGAACTGTTTTAATTAAATTAAAACATCAGTTGTGATGCGCAACAGGCAGCTCATACCAAGGTTTAATAAACTCACATATCTTCAATGATAATTATCCTAACAATACACTCTCTGAATAAAAAATGACAATAAAAGTTATCTAAGTCTAAGTCAAAGTGTTTCCTTTTTTCCAACTAAAAATGCTCCTTTTTCCTAAAGCATCACTAATAGAATAGAATAGAAAAGGAAATTCCATTTATTGGCCCACAATGGGGAACTTCTGGTGTTTACAGCAGCAAAAAGATTATAGAAAAAATTATCACACAGATATGGACCTTGAAATATATAAGAACAACATAATAGTGAAGGGTGAAAAAATAAACAAATAAAATACTGTACTATACCATAAATATAAATAAATACTATAAACAAATACTGTGCACCTGGAGAATAAATATCCAATCCAATATACAGCTATAGACATTTTTAAAGTAATGGGCATTTAAAAATAAAAAAATAAGAAACCACCATCTTTTATCAATAAGGACAAAAACATATTGGGGGATAAAGTTTTTTTTTTATTTATTTATTTTTTTTTATAGTTTTTACTTTGCTTTTTCCTTTTATCTGAGTTTGTTCACTCCATAGAGTTATGATCCCTGACAGTTCTGCATCTTTCTATGTAAATCACACATTTTTATTTGTTATGGATTAAAAAGGTTTGCAGTTTTCATTTGTTCTACATATAGATGCTGTGTTGTTCCAATTACATTGAAGACATATTTAATTCCTACTGGTAACACTTAGAAATAAAGGTATTTTCTTTTAAGATATCAGTTTATCCTTAAAATCCTTTCTGGTTTGGATGTGATATCTGTCTGCAGAGCTCAGCTGGTGCCCACAACTCTGGCTCTCAGGACCACCTCCTATCTGTCTCAGGAGACTGAGTACATGCCGTGGCAGTCTGCCCTCAACAACCTGCGCTACTTCGAACTCATGCTGGACCGAACTGAAGTCTATCAGCCCATGCAGGTAAAGGCTTGTCACAATTCAGCCGCTTGGATGTTTCAAGATTCAAACAGATAAGCCACCATCCTCTCCGTTTTTGTTCTTTATCAGGATTATATCAGGAAGCAGGTGACTCCACTCTTCCTGTATTTCAGGGAAATGACATCAAACTGGACCAAAGTTCCAGAGAAGCACACCGACCAGTGAGTTTATGGACGCTTTAAGATCCATCCAAGAAACAGCAAAGCAGGGCTGGTTCATGTGGAAAGGCCATTTTAGTAACTACACTGCAAAAATTTTAATATCTATTAAATATTTAAATAATATATTATAAATAAATATTATATATATATAAATTGATATGTATAATATAGGAGGTAAATATTCTTGTAGTGTATTTTGGTTTCAACATGCAAATAACTGTCAATGGAATAAGATGATTTCTGTTTACAGCAAGAGAGAAACAATCTCATCATCTTATTTCAAGGGCAAAAATACTCCACTGCTCAGGCGTAACTTTCCGAAGGACTGGTGTGGACATGTACCCACCAACTTTGGCCTGTTGGGGACAGTCCCCACCAATAATTTCCACTTTTTTCCTCCTTTTTGCTCATTTATTTTAGCCACAGCTAACAGAGGTTGGGTGGTCCTCCCTCCCGCTGCTCCCGTGTTCCGCTTCACGGTGTAACATTATCTGATCTGTTGCTTTCAGACATCTGATTGGCGGTCACATTTCACTGAATAGAGAGTAACTACGTGGTCAGTGTATTCTCATTATGAGTTCGTACGAAATCGTACGAAAAGTTATGCACCGTAATTTCGTACGTTTTGGACGTTTTTTTTCGTCGTATGCGCATGCGCATCTGACGCACCATTCACGAATATAGAATATAAATTACAATTAGCCCTAACCCTGACCCTAACCCTAAGATATAAAACAGCAAGTAACGTAGTTAGAGACATGGATAAGTAATGATTGCACTGTTTTTCCCAGTTTTACATCCGTCCGCGGATCTGCTTTTTTTTCTGTCTGCCAGCGCATGCGCACTGATCTGGTTTTTTGAGGAAAAACGTCCAAAACGTATGAAATACTGTGCATAACAGCAGCACTCAGTGCATTTTAACTGGTAGCTTCTTTGATGTTTAAGTAAAAGTTAGGGGACAGGTTGGTTAAAAAAAATTAGAGATTATGCCACCGAAAAATCTGTTCGTTAGCCATGCGGAGCTTTTTCAGCTAAAAATGGCAACAGATTGTAAGTTTATACAAGTTAGTAATATAATGCAAGAAGCCTGAGAAAACATTGCTTGTTCTTCTTTGCTAGTTAAATAAAGCTTGGCTTCTCAGAGGACCATGACTCCCAGTTACAGGTTAAAATGAACGATGTTTTTCTTATTGAACAGACAGAATATATACAAGATTTGCAATATGCAATAACATTTATGTCCAAGTTTACCAGAAGGTTTACAAGAAAAAAAAATGCTATATTTAAAATGCAGCATATCCATATTTTTCTGGATGGGTGGATGATATATTGATTTTGGCATCGGGATCGGCTCTTATTCGTTATTTTTTTATACATTGTTTTTTGGGCCCCAAGGGCGTAGGTTTGATTTGAACTTTGGTAGGGACACTATTGGTCGGGTGTCATTGGTGCTGCAATATGCGTGCCCTTTTTTATGCTCGATGTGGGCATCCGTACTGATAAGAGGAATTCATTGTTAAAAGACAAAAGCATCATTTTGCTACATTAATAAAAATGTTATAAGCACTACACTCATTAGATGCTGTTTATCAATGTTTGAAGTATCAC